CTTTTCTGTACCTTCTCTAGCCAACGTTGTTGAGTGGAGTTGAGAGAAGACGACCAGGCTGGTGACGCATACGTTAGTTTGGAGAGAATAAAGGCGTTGTAGATAGTCCTCAGCTCTGGCGTGGGTGTCCTAAGTGACCTAAGTCGTCGTAGCATGTAGAGACGGTACAAGTGCGCGTGTGTGTGTCTGTGTTTATGTGTGTTTTACCCGCATGGACGACAGTAGACTACTACAGCAGCTACTTTACAGTCACCTAACGAATAGTAACGTAACGCTGGCGGCCAATTGAAAAGGTTTAAGGATAGTCTTAAGACAAACCTGAAAAAGTGCCAAATCGACCCCCTCACCTGGGAGACGATTACTCCACATTGTAACGCATGGAGGAGCACCACACAAGAAGATGTCAATACTTTCGAGTTAGCCTGACTGCAAACCGAGGCAGACAAGCGCCAACGCCGGAAAGACGCTGCCACCGCTCCTCCCGCACTAGACGCAGCCCTCCACACGTGCAACGAATGTGGACGACCCTGCAGGTCCCGTATCGGCCTCTTTAGTCACCTCAAAACTTACCAACCTAGGTGACATCCTTGATAACTCATATTATTATATCATAGCTGGATGATGTCATACTCGATTCCGAGTGACAGCAAAGTAGTAGTAGCAGTAGTAGTAGTAGTAGTAGTAGTAGTAGAGTGTCTGTGTGTGTGTGTGAGTCTGTTCGTCTTTATGTCTGTCTGTGTTTTTGCGTCCTCCGCATCCTCGCCAATACTGTAGTGAAGGCTATCAACCAAGTCTGACCAAACGTCATGGATGAACTACATTATGTTGGATATACAGTAAGCAGTGAACTTTTTTGGAAGGCAAAGTTCAAAGGTTAAAGTCTTACTTGTCTTAGTCATTGAAAATTAAAAATAAATCACTGCTTTCGCAATAAACCTTGAACAAAGCATTGTAGAAGGCTGGAGCCTGTTGTATTAGATTTTTCGACGAAACACCCATAAAAAGTGTCATTACGTTTTTCTTTAAATGTATCACAAATCAATTCTTCACAAAAATTACCCCAGGAGATCCTCTGGGGAGACACTTAAATTATACTTTGATAGGTCAAAAGTGAAGGTCACAATTACCAAAAATACTAGTAATATTTTTAAAACTTCTTATCTCATGAAACTTGGGATAAAAACTTTTCAAATATGATGTGGAGACTCTTTTAGGAAGTTCATTGGTTCATGAAATAAAAACCCGAGCGAACGATGGAAGACGTCACGAGTGTGGGGTCTCCTGTTCCAGTGGTAAAAGAGCGGCCATAACTGATTGTATTATTTTTATATATATTTTTTATTTAATTCCTTGTTCTTGAAAAACGTCACCTTAGTGTATGTTGAACGACAACTAACCTTGCTTATAAACAATGAATCCTCCTACAATATTTCATACTGTGTAGTGAATCTTAATGAAAACCTAATGAGTTATGGCAGGTTTGGGTGAGGGAACTCGACGTCTCTCTGCCAGTTGTAGTTCATCCTTCTAATAACAACCATTGTGATACATTACTGGGAAAACGGAAAAATTTTCTCACCCATGTGCTCAATATATTAATATTTAGTAAAATCATCAAGCAAGTTTGCAATGGATTAGCGAGTGAAAAGACAGATATACAATATGCTATATAGTACAGGAATACAAACGACATACTGCACATACACAGTGCGGGTACACAAGAATTAAAAATAGTAAATCAAATCGCCAAGGACAGCTTACAAAACTATCAACTGCTTATTATAGCTTGAGAATTTGTTTGATATAAATAAAATAAAATAAGACATAATAACAATAGTTGTCTGGTGACGGCGTGAAAGGGAGTTAGGGAAGAATGGTGGAGATAGAGTGCGAGGATGAGGGAGAGGCAGGTGTGTGAGGGGAGATAAGAGGCCCATGGCAATTGACCTTGATCACGAGGCGGTGAGGGGAGATGAGGGAGACGCTTGACACTTCACATAGAATTAATAAAAACTTCTTAACTTCTTCGTTCAAGTTAAAAGAGTTAGTACATTTAACAAATAAGATTAATATGTTCTTTTTTAATCTGTTTCTGAATCATAACATCAATGGGATCACCTTAACCACACCAGCTTCTTTCACGTGATTTACTACCTCACCTGTGTTTAAACAGTACGTGGGGCAGTATCTGGAATATTGTACTGAGCCGCTTCTGGAGTCGTAATAAGAATAGTACTTGGTGACTGCGTTTGATATAAAGCTCTATTTATTGATTGAGGCGTTGGCAAGAGTCGTTCATAAAGACGATTATATGACTTTAAGAAGAGTTCTTGGAGCACTCTATAAAACTGCCTGCTGGGACAGTATTAAGAATGATGCCTAGAACCCTGCCAAGGATAGACTTGGAGAAGTGGCAGGGATGGTACTTGTAATAGTGCCAGGAATCGTACCTTGAACAGTGCCAGAAATAGTAACTTGAGCAGGGGCAGGAATAGTTCCGAGAATAGCAACTAATTCATTCCCAGAGCTATCGCCTGAAGCACAGCTGAGTATGATACCTATAACAGTGCCAGTAATAGTTCATGGAGCCGTTTCTGGAATATCATCGATAGCAATACCATAGACATTATTTGAAACGGTGCCAAGACCAGTGACTTGAATAGTGCTTGAAATAATGTCAGGAACCGTTGGTATCAGTGCCTTGGATAGTGCCTAATACAGTGCCAGGCCAACATATAAACTGAGGAGGCTTTGTGGTGGCGCGTCTTTACTGTTGTTTTCCTAAAAGTTAAGATAAGAAAAGTGAGAGTTGCTTTATGTAAGATCCTTGAGATCCGTGGGCATTAACTCTCTCTCTCTCTCTCTCTCACGTGGAATAAAAATAAAACTGCTGGCCTCCAAAATATTAGATGATGGCGTCACGAGGTCATTCCGTTTCCGGTTTTAGTTCCCGAGTCCAGGTACCAGTGAGGCCCTGAGCCGCGCTCTGCTGACGACTCTCTTGAAGGGTACCTCCAAGAGAGGGTGTTAAAAGGGCGTCCATCATGGTGTAACAATGTTTAGACAGCTTTATAAATTGTTCTAAGTTATGTCATTTGTACTTCCTTTTAATTTGTAGGTAGTAATATGAATACACCTTTATATTTGTTTTTGTTTTTCGGTTTGCATATGACCCAGTACACCCCTCAGCTTCACCACACAGCGCGCGCCTTGATACTTGTAAACATCCCTCTACTCGAAACTAGGCTGTGCCGTGGTAGTCATCATGTGTTAACTCGGTCCTGGTACATTATTCATACTCTGAAGCCTCACGTTGATAGTGTGTCACTTGTCGACTGTGTGAGAAGAAGACATGAACCAATAAGTTGTGTAAACTATGAGATCCGTGTTTAGAGGAACACCGATGTTTTCAATATACCATGTCAGAGAAGTATGACAAGTGATAATGGGGTCAGTGATAGGAAATGGAAAGGTCAAGTTCAGAACACAATATACCCTGCACATACACAGTTCTCTTCCCCTCTACGGCAGGTATTAATGCCAGTCTGTTAACTTTTGCTGATCGTCCTCATTGAAGCAGCACCCGTCATAGCTGCGAGGTTACCAGCAAACGTCAAAGTTCAACCACAACACACTACACATCTACAATATACAGTATATTCCTCATGTCCACTGTATGTATGAGCTTAGATTGGAATCCATTGGTTGTTGCTGGACGAAAGCACGGTTTGGAAACATGTCCCGCACTGCTACAAGGAGTAGTAGTGGTAAGATGTATGTCACAAACATTTCACATTTTTAAGCAACATATCTAGACGTTGTTTATTACACCTCAGCGGGCACCTCAGCTTTATGACTGAGAATTCACGCCATTATTATTTGTTTATGAAACACAATGAATATTTTTGTTTTTATAGAAACCTTACAGAATTTAGAGGGGATATTAGAAAGCCCTTGTTCACATGCCTAATTTTTACTACAGCATAATAGTGCTTAAAAGCTTAAAATAAATATGAATAATTTTAATTATATACAAGACTGAAGGTTTGATTAATCAAGAATGTGAAACGATGATCTGTGTCATGGTTTACTGAGGCTCTAGAGTCTGGATAAATTCTATCCAACCACGTTGTACTCCTTTGGCTGTAGCAACGGCCACCACTGTTGACAAGTTCAGCCTGGTATTGGATTTACCTGTGACCATTGTGGACAAGTTCATCACAACAACTATCTTCTCCTAAACGTGGCTCAGACCCCCACCACCCTATCATTAACTCCAAGTGGCCATAACTCTGGACAGTAATTGGTAGAGATACTGATAATAACACTCGTCTAAGATCTTTTTTAATTTTGTGTACTTACCAAATTTGGTTAAAAGATGTTACTGCTTGGTCGTGGTACCATGTTTTGCTCACAAGATTGATAACTGTACCCTGAAATATGTGTTATGGAGCATTGTTGCGTAGCCACGACCGAGTTTCTAGGACTGAACTATGGGGAACCGGCAAACAGGGAAATCCACGGATTTACGCCCGTGGCCAGACGGCGCTGCGCTGCCACATCTCGTAAATGTGCCCCTACACACACCAAGGCCGTGGTATGTTCATGTGGAAGCAACTGTACACTGGTGAACGCCGGCCATTTCTATATTCTCCTCCACGAGGATTGGGAGAGTGGAATGGGGGTAGGAGATTATAGCGACTCAACATTTGCCTGCATTGTAACAATATTTTAAACGCTAGGAATTTGACATATTTTGACATCTGTTTTCAAGTGGTCATTACAGTGGCTTAGTCTTTGATCTCTGTAATATAATAATTGATAATTAACCTTTGACCTTTCTCTTCTCTCAACAAGTTTATGATGTTTTAATTTTTGGTACATGTTGGCAGCTTCAGAGTTATGACCTTTGACCTTAAATTAGCAGTGATCGTGATGTTTACAGCCTGACTACCTCGTACAGAACCAGTATTTAATTGTTGACCTTCTCCTCTTGACAGGTTCATCGTGATAGTGTTCCCGATGAGATCACGTTCCCTGTGTACGATGAGCAACTGCCGCCGCTCTGTCCTGTTCGTGTGGGTGGTGTCCCTCCTGCTGGCCTGCCCTATCACCAAGGTCATGGTAGGTGGTGTTACTCCTGCTGGTCTACCCCATCATTAAGGTCATGGTAGGTGGTGTTACTCCTGCTGGCCTACCCTATCACTAAGGTCATGGTAGGTGGTGTTACTCCTGCTGGCCTACCCTATCACTAAGGTCATGGTAGGTGGTGTTACTCCTGCTGGCCTACCCCATCACTAAGGTCATGGTAGGTGGTGTTACTCCTGCTGGCCTACCCCATCACTAAGGTCATGGTAGGTGGTGTTACTCCTGCTGGCCTACCCCATCACTAAGGTCATGGTGGGTGGTGTTCTGCTGGCCTACCCTATCACTAAGGTCATGTAGTGGTACTCCTGCTCCACTCCCCATCACTAAGGTCATGGTGGGTGGTGTTACTCCTGCTGGCCTACCCATCACTAAGGTCATGGTAGGTGTTGTTCCTGCTGGCCTACCCTATCATTAAGGTCATGGTAGGTGGTGTTACTCCTGGCCACCCATCACTACACTGTAGGGTGTCTGCTGGTCTACCCCATCACCAAGGTCATGGTAGGTGGTACTTCCTGCTGGCCTACCATATCACTAAGGTCATGGTGAGGTGTTGTTCTGGCCCACCCCATCACTAGGTCATGGAGGTGGTGTTGTCTCTGCTGGCCTACCCCATCACCTAAGGTCATGGTGGGTGGTGTTCCCTGCCTGGTCTACCCCATCATTAAGGTCATGGTAGGTGGTGTTGACTCCTACTGGCCTACCCCATCACTAAAGGTCATAGAGGTGGTGTTACTCCTGCTGGCCTACCCCATCACTAAGGTCATGGTAGGTGGTGTTGTTCCCTGGCCTACCCATCACTAAGGTCATGGTAGTGTTACTCCTGCTGGCCCACCATCACTAAGGTCATGGGTGGTGTTACTCCTGCTGGTCTACCCCATCATTAGGGTCATGGTAGGTGGTGTTACTCCTACTGGCCTACCCTATCACAAGGTCATGGTGTTGATTCTGCTGGTCTATCCCTATCACTAAGGTCATGGTAGGTGGTGTTGTCTGCTGGCCTACCTATCACTACATGGTCATGGTAGGTGGTGTTACTCCTGCTGGCCTACTCCCATCACTAAGGTCATGGTAGGTGGTGTTACTCCTGGCCTTTACCCCATCACTACATGAGTAGGTGGTGTTGCTCCTGCTGGTCTACCCTATCACCAGGTCATGGTAGTTGGCCTGTCATGCCAACTTTAAACAACTGAACTTCATTACCAACAAATTTTCTGGTGTTTGGAGATACAGCATATGAGTTTTATTTTTCGCCACATAGACAGTGTAAAACGACCCATTTACAAATATAAACACACAGTTTCCAAAAATAGTGTGGTGTCAACTTTGAACCCTCTGCTATGACCCCATAACACAACAGTGTCAGAGGCTGGTAAGCACTCAACGAGAGGGGCGGGTGAGGCTGCCAATAGGTCATCAGGTAGGTATTCCTCCATTGTACCTCACACCTGAGCTCTCTCAGGTAATATATTTTCTCGCTCACCGATGCCTCGATTTACGTATACTGTAATGGTGTTTTTTTGTGCTTACACAATATTCTCAATACCTTTATGATCTTCGGGATATTGTGTGAGGTTAGATGATGCCCTTCTGAATGCCAAACTAGAGATATGACTAAGATGTTATGCGTCAGAGCCAAATGATGGATGAACAAGGTTTTACCTGGATAGGAAGAAGTAGTCAGGTGGTGCAGCATATTCACATTGGTAAGAATAATGCAGGATTTTTTTGAATTGCTGATGCTGGCGCGTCATATGTTGACTTTCACTCTTGTATCTGTTCTTGCTCCATCTCACCCAGGTCATCATCTCAGTTTTCTATACCATTTCCTTCAGTGGTCTCTGCAGGGCATTTGTTTTCTTCCGACCTTTATACCTGTGTTGATGACTTGGTTATTTCCGTTATGTGTTGCTATTGTCAGTATAGCACTACACCAAGTTCAACCTCTATTTCCATCTGTTACTCTGCTACGTCTAGTAACCGCACGTACAGGTGTCAGCAATTTTATCTTTGTTTTTAATTCTTGTTTCGTTTGTAAGGCCAAAGCGATACTTCAGAGCCATGTGTTAATATTCGCCGCATAAAAATAAAGAACATTATAATTTAAATTTCGATAAAGATAAAAACTACAAGTTTATTTGACTGAAATTGACAATAAATGGTCTTAGTGTTTGTTTGATCTTTATTATTAAAATTGCTCGTAGTTATTATAAAAAATCATATTCTTACCATAGTATTTGATTTCCAGTCCCAAATACAACAGAGTTCTAGTGCCAGTGTATCACCACTGGCATAAGTTAAATTAATCTTCAGTATTTTTCTCTATTTCTACCCTCCATTTGTTAATGTACTTGAGAAACCCAGCACTACCTCATATCACACCAATGTTCTCACTGTGACTTGTACAACATACTGATGATCACCAACACCTGTACAAATATACTGATGATCACCAACATCTGTACAACATAGTGACGATCACAAACACCTGTACAACATACTGATGATCACCAACACCTGTACTAACATACTGATGATCACCAACACCTGTACAACATACTGATGATCACCAACACCTGTTAACATACTGATGATCACCAACATCTGTACAACTATAGTGACGATCACCAACATTGTACAACATAGTGACGATCACCAACATTCTAGCAATATAGTGACGATCACCAACACCTGTACAACATACTGATGATCACCAACATCTGTACAACATAGTGACGATCACCAACACCTGTATAACATACTGATGATCACCAACATCTGTACAACATAGTGACGATCACCAACATCTGTACAAAATAGTGACGATCACCAACACCTGTACAACATACTGATGATCACCAACATTCTGCAACATAGAGACGATCACCAACACCTGTACAACATACTGATGATGACCAACATCTGTACAACATACTGATGATCGCCAACACCTGTACAACATACTGATGATCACCAACATCTGTACAAATATAGTGACGATCACCAACACCTGTACAACATACTGATGATCACCAACACTCAGACAACATACTGATGATCACCAACATCTGTTACAACATACTGATGATCACCAACACCTGTACAACATACTGATGGTCACCAACACCTGTACAACATACTGACGATCACTTACCACTAAACATACTGATGATCACTAACATCTGTACAACATACTGATGATCACCAACACCTGTACAACATACTGACGATCACCAACACTCTGTAACATACTGATGATCACCAACATCTGTACAAATATACTGATGATCACCAACAATCTGTACAACATACTGATGATCACCAACACTGTGCAACATACTGATGATCACCAACATCTGTACAACATACTGATGATCACCAACAACTGTACAACATACTGATGATCACCAACACCTGTGCAACATACTGATGATCACCAACATCTGTACAACATACTGGATATCACCAACAACTGTACAACATACTGATGATCACCAACACCTGTACAACATACTGACGATCACCAACACCTGTACAACATACTGATGGTCACCAACACCTGTACAACATACTAACGATCACCAACAACTGTACAACATACTGATGATCACCAACACCTGTACAACATACTGACGATCACCAAAACCTGTACAACATACTGATGGTCACTCAACACCTGTACAACATACTGACGATCACCAAACCTGTACAACATACTGATGGTCACCAACACCTATATAACATACTGATAGTCACCAGCACTTGTTCAGTATAAGATGAAGGTCTATATTCTATTCTCTCAAGTATTCTTCCATATTATATCATACAGTGATAACTCGTTTTATTCTTTCATCTCTTTATACAGTATAATACAGGTTTTCCCTCACGATATGAAAAATAATATAACTTTTATTTTTACACAAGCTGACTTGGTAACACTGTCTCGCAGTCAACAGTAAGCTTTCTTTATATTGCTTACATTATATCACTATCGCGTCTTCTTCCTTCCCAGTGTTATCATATCAGTCCTTATTTTTTTGCTACTTCATCCTCACTGCTTCACCTTCGCCTGCTACATCCTCGCTTACTTCATCCTCGCCTGTTTTTACATCCTCGTCTGCTATACATCCTTGCCTGCTATACATCCTCGCCTGCTATACCTCCTCGCCTGCTATAAAGTTGCAGACTCAAACATACAAAAAAATCACCACTTTTTCTTCAATTCCTAATAATCTTCTTTCACCTCTTAACTTCATGACTTCGTATCGTATCGTGCCTCCTCGCCTGGTGTGCCTCCTCGCCTGGTGTCCTCCCTCGCCTGGTGTACCTCCTCGCCTGGTGTACCTCCTCGCGTGTACCTCCTCGCCTGGTGCCCACCTCCTCGCCTGGTGTACCTCCTGGCCCTTCTACATCCTCGCCTGCTACAACTCCTCGCCTGCTACACCTCCTCGCCTGCTATAAAAGTACATCCTGGCCTGGTGTGCCTCCTCGCCTGGTGCCTCCTCCCCTGAGTGTACCTCCTGGCCTTCTATACATCCTCGCCTGCATAACTCCTCGCCTGCTACTCCTCCTCGCCTGCTATAGTACATCCTCGCCTGGTGTACCTCCTCGCCTGTGTACCTCCTGGCCTTCTATACATCTCGCCTGCCTCCTCGCCTGCTATCTCCTCTTCGCCTGCTATAAAGTACATCCTGGCCTGGTGTGCCTCCTCGCCCTGTGCCTCGCCTACTATACATCCTCGCCTGCCTGCATCCTCTTCTGCTGCCATCCTCGTCTGCTATACATCCTTACCTGCGCATCCTCGCATGCGCCATCCTCGCCTGCTGTGCATCCTCGTCTGCTATACATCCTTGCCTGCTATACATCCTCCTTGCTCTTACATCCTCCTTGCTATACATCCTCGCCTGCTATGCATCCTCTCCTGCCCCTCGCCTACCCATCCTCGCCTGCTACAATCTCGCCTGCTAAATCCTTCCTGC